TGCCGAATATGTAGTCTCAGTCACAGAACACGTGGACAGCAGCCACGTCAGCATGATACACGTGGCAGCAGCCACATCAGCGAAGGTGCATGGCAACTGCCACGTCAGCAGGCCAAGAAGACAGGAGCAAGCCGACCACCATGCCGGAATAGCAGCACCTTGCCAAGTCACAATGCCAGTAGCGTCGAGCCAGCGTCGCAGCGCCGCAGCGTCAAGCCAGCGTCGAAGTCAATGCGTGAAGTCAGCATCAACGCAAGACAGAATGAATGTTAAAGCCAGGAAGTCAACTCTTATGTAGTGTTGACGCGGGGTCTGGACCCCGACTGCTGTATCCCTCGGCCGTTCAGATCTCAATGCGAGCGAGGGCTCATATCGGCCTGAAACCGAATTCCCTCCGGCCTGGATGCTGTCTGCGTACCTGTGCACAACAAGTGAGTGTATCCATCCCAGGGCCTGGGTGTGGTACCTTTGACTCTACAGTTGACTTTGACTCTTGAATTTCCTGTGTGCAGCGTGCGGTCACACAGCCACAMTCGACAGACTCAGGCCTGGGCGTGTCTTGGTCACACAGCCCAGCGCAGACCTTCCCAGGTCTGCGTGGCCTGGGGCCGAGTTCTGAGCCCCAGGCTACTTCTGAATAGGGTTATTACAAAATTATGAAACCCCTACTATTTTTTTTTTTTTTTTAACCTTAATTTTTCCGGTGCGGGTGCGCGTGGTGCTCTGTGGTGCGGTGCGCTGCACTTGCACAAATCTGCACACCGAGGTGCGCCGTGACTATGATAAAAAATCATATTTTCATATTCTGATTTTATGTGCACGACCTTAGAATAAGCCAAACCGAAGCCACATTACCCAACTCTTAAACCCTTTCGACAGGCAAATCACCACAAGAACAACAACCAGACCTGAGTGAAGCCACATAGTCCGGGTGGAGTATGGAACAGAACGACATAGCATAGTCAGTTAGGCCAAACCGAAGCCACATTGCGTAGCTGTACGGATAGGTATGGCAATCTGACTTGGCCGTAGCCACAATGCGTGATTGCCAAGAAGACGAACAATATGACAACCAAGCTTGACCGAAGCCACATCGCGTGGCTGCAAAAAAGACGAATCAACAAGTATTACAACAACTAGACCTGACGGAAGCCACATTGTCGAGTTGTAGAGTAAACAAAATAAAACAAAGCGGTCAGCCCAAAGTGAAACCATTTGCCTGACCTTTTTAGGACCCAATCATAGGAAGCAAACCTACCTTTCTCCCATCTTCTCCTTGTTAAATTCCTTTCTGTCCGAGTTTCAAGCAATAAGAATAGGTGAAATTCAACCATGCATTTTACTTAACATGACTTAGGTTTTGAAAGAAATAAAGTTCATAGGGACATACGCATACGTAGTAGTCAACATAGAGAGATATATTGATAAGGGCTTAGGGGGTTCATACAGGGCAGATACGATGTACATGTTTGTTGCCTGCCTCCAAAAATCCTCCCAAGTTCCGGCAGAGCTCACGCAATCGGTGGGTGGACCTCTGACAAGGTCTTGCTGTGGTCTTGTGGGTTGCAATCCCACCTGTCGCCTTTCTCTCCGAACTCAGACTAGACTTAGATTAAGAAGGGCAGAAAGAGAAAGGTTAGACTCTCGATATACAAGAGGGGGACAACTCAACTTGCGTGAGAAGGCCTTCATATCTTGATGCGCCTGAGGGCCCCTCAAAAAGCGCAGCAAGTTGGCCAAACTGCAACCGAAAATCGGGTAGCAACACCCTGACCTCCTTTGCAGAAGCCCAACCTTTCCCCTCAACCGTTGTACTCCATCCTCTGACTAAGTCGCAGCCACTCAACTTGGAGAGTCTCCTTTCAAATACTCTCGTCTCTATCCGAAAATGCAGACAAAAAGCGGCAAAACATAGTCGAAGGTTGTGCGCACAGTAATCTGCAAGCAAGGTCGGGCGATACGCACGTCAAGGTGTAATAGTAACCAGCTATTCACAACGCCGCTGAAAGCACAACGACTGTAGTCGTAGTGCACATCAACGAAGCTCAGCAGCAAGGCACACCCTGTGCAGCACAGTGATCGCGACCAACACAAACTAGTGCAGTCTTAGCAACCAACAAAGTTCGTCAGGCGTAATGAACAGCAAGCCCAACGAACACCAAGTTTAGCAATCAGCAAGACTCGGCTAACAGTGGAACCCCGCAAACTCTGTTAGCAACAAACCCCAACAACTTACCATACATGCACAACTTTTCAGCATTGTCCATAGCAATCGCACATTAGCAGAAAGACAGCAAACTAGAGAGCAACAAGACAAAAGAAAACAAAAAGCACAACAATTCCAACAGCTTGAAAGTCCCTTGTTCTCCTATGAAGCTGGCCACGAGGAAAAGCCTCGCACATCTACTTTGCAAATTGAGGTCTTATTCGTTAGCGGAGCTAGTCAGACAAATCACTCCCCAAATCTAAGGACGACCGCTGTCGGGACTGGTGGGTCCCGAATAACTTCCCATCACTCGAGAGATTGAATACGGACAATTTGTGCACAACAGAGAAATCTCGAGTGAGGAAGCAGGAGAGAGAAAAGACAAAGGATTAGGCCGCAGAAGGGAGTGATGCCCTGAGGAGAGAACCACAGGGGGAAAGAACTAGCGACGGCAAGCGAGCGAGCGCAAGAACAGGGGCACATAGGACAT